TTGGCTATGACCCCGGGTGTCTGCGCGAATCTTTGCCCCCCAAACCGAGTAAAAGGCATTTGGGGGGGGGGGGATTTCTCCCCCAGGTTCCAACCCACGGAATAAGACCAGGACCATGTCCACCCCCCCCCCACCACCACCCAACACCCCTTCCCCAAATCCAAGCAGCAAATTTCTTTCCAGGACCAGCTCAGGGTACGTGAGAAACTCCTTCCTCGGAAGCCTCCCTTTCTTTGCGCCCCCCACCCCACTTAAACCAAACAATGGAGACGGGGAGGGGGGGGACACATAAGAGGAGGAGGAGAAAATCAAAGAGGCTGTTGGGTTTCCCAAACCTGAAACTATGTAGGGAAAGGGGGGGGGGTGTAGGAGCCGGACTCCAATCGCCCCCCCTCCCCATAACGGCCCCCTTCCTTCCTTCCTTCCTTCCCTCCCTCCCTCCACTCTTCCCGCGCCTGCCTCCATCCCACGCCTTCCCCTCCTCGGCGCAAACAAAGCGGGAGAGAAAGGCAGCCGCGGCGCTTCCCTTCCCCACCTCGGCGGTGTTTTTCTTACCTTATTCTTCACCTCGGCGGAGAGCCCGTAAGAGGGGCCCTTGTTAAAGTGGGTCATGGCGGCGCCGGGTCGGTGTCGGGGCCCGAGGACGCGGCTGAAGCTCTCCTGTCTGCGCTCGGCTGGATGCTCGGGGTTGCCAGTGGGGCGCGAGCGAGCGAGCGAGCGCGCTGAGGGCGGGCCGGCTTGGAGAGGGAGGGACGTGGGGGCCAAGCTGGCTGACACGGCGCCCGCTGCGGCTTAGATCGTCCTCCGAAACTTCTAGTCCCGCCCCGGCCCAGAGACCAGCCTTGCCGCCCCTTCTCCAAGCCCAACGGCAGCCGTTCCTCTCCAAGCCGCGGGAGGAGCACCCGGGAGTTGCAAGCCAACTCCCGCTCCCCTTGCCGCGTCTCCCGTTTTTGGAGTCCTGGGAAAAAGCCTTTTAAAGGACCGGCTACCAATCGTTTCTCCCGCGTAAAGTCAACATTAAACCTCGGATAATGCTGGCTTGAACCGCGGAAGCCCGTTCATCACGCACACACACACACCCGTGTCAAATAAATCCATTTACGGCCCGCTCTCATGTACCAATCGCAGCTTGCTCGTTAATGATGCGCCAGGTTCATCTACTCGCTGAAGGATGGGTGCGCTTGCAACACCGCCCTTCCTAAACGATGGGTTGGGAGGCTGTTAGTCCTACCTTGAGTGGCTTGCCTGGCTAAGTGGGCTGGGAGCGATGGGTGTTGTGGTGTAGGACTAAACTGGAAGGCACCTGATGGGGAAAGCTGTTAAAGATTAAAAGAATGGTGGTTCTTCTTCTCCTAATCCTAAATGCAAACTGCTAAGTGTTTTGATTCAGAAGGAGCGAGGACCTATCAATCCTAGTTTAGGATTGCTCCTTTAACCATGTAAACTAGCATAAAGTTATCATGGGAAAACTTAGTCATTTGAAGTCTTTAAAATGCACATGGATATAATTAAACCCAGCTGCGTGGGTTATCATGGGGGCACCTAGGTGCTCCCATGTTACCCCCCTTTTAGGCGGCCTGCACTGGTTGCCGGTTGTCTTCCGGGTGCGATTCAAGGTACTAATTATGACCTTTAAAGCTTAGGCCCAGCGTACCCGCGAGACCACCTACTACCACCGGTAGCCTCCCACCGTCCAGTGAGATCCCACAGATTTGGCCTCCTCAGGGTACCGTCGGCCANATCACTACTTCCATTCTCTGTCCTTTGGCTCGTCACAAGAGACTATTCAGACAGAAACCCAATATTTTTTTTTATTTTTTTACTGTTGCCTTTTTGTTACATTTGTTATATTTGTGCTGATATATTTATTTATTTATCAGCACAAATATAACATACATACATACATACATACATACATACATACATACATACATACATATGATTTTTATATACCAATTTTTAATTACTTCCTTATTAAAATTATTTATCAACAAGATACCTTTGTAATATATTCTTAGGGTTTTACATTATATCACCAATCCTCTATCAAATATACATAAAATCATTGTTATCCTTATCCATTTTAAAACAAAAAGTTGTAAAGTATTCAATCCATTGAGATTCTTGGGACATTTCCGGTATTCTACGTTGGATAAATTGGGGAAAGTTTTCATCTAGAAACTTAACTGCTGATCGGATAATCTCAAGCAAGCCAAAACCAGTAGAATGCAAATTAAAATGCCCGTTTCCCCTGGAAATAAGACCTCCCCAGATAATAAACCCAATCGGGGCTTTTGAGCGCATGCGCTAAAATAAGCCCGCCCTGAAAATATTGCAACACAGCAGCAGCCGCGAGGTGACCATGCTCGCCTCCTCCTCCTGCACCTCAAACATAATAAGACCTCCCCCCCAAAATAAGGCTTGGGGCTTATTTCAGGGGTCAAAAGAAAATAAGTCCCTGTCTTAATTTCGGGGAAACATGGTATTCATGTGGGATTGTGTTAACACCAGAGAGGAATCTGAGAGATTGGCTCCTTAGGGAACCGCAGGCCTGAACTGTGTCAAGGAAAGTTAGCAAAACGTAATTTTTTGTCCTTGCACAATACGCATGCGTGAAAAAACAAGCTGTACGATTCGCAAACTGTGCAACAATCACCTGCAGCAAAGTGTCAAGAGTTTGTTGCAGCAATCCCATCCAGAGAGCACACACAGGTAACTGATTCAGCAGGATTCATTAACTTCTCTTCATATATAATATGACACACGAGATACATATACAATACCGAGAGTGTTTCTTCCAACATGGTAGAGAGAAGAGATCGGTTTTAGTTTAGATCAGACTTGCAGGCTAGTTTGGCTTTAACACAGACTCAGAGCTCCACAGCTAAGCCATGCCCAGGCTCCAAAGTGTTTCAGCTCCCATTGGCTGGCCTTGTTACTAAGCCGTATTCTAGTTCATGAATATATCTACTCTACAAAGCTTGAACCCTGTGTTGTAATGCATCTTCCCTTTCTTTAGCGGAAACAACAGAGACGGTACCAAAGGCTGTGTTTGTGTGTGTCCATTTTTTGTTTAGGAAGGTTTTACAAACAACCAGTACCAGGAGTTGGTGGACCCAGCATCCCTCAAGTATGTTTCCCGTTCCGAGAATAGCATCTTTTTTGAAGTAGACGGGCCCTACCTAGCTATGATTCTTCCGGCCTCCAAGGAGGAAGGCAAGAAGCTGAAGAAAAGGTGAGAATCCTTTGGGAAGACAAAGGTTTCAGGAAGGAGTCTCCCTTAGAAATCCATGGTGGCGCAGTGGTTAGAGTGCAGTACTGCAGGCTGTTTCTGTTGACTGCCGGCAGTTTGGTAGTTCGATTCTCACCAACTCAGCCTTCCGTCCTTATGAGGTCGATAAAATGAGGACCCAGGTTGTGGTTAGAGAGTGCAGTACTGCGGGCTGTTTCTGCTGCCTGCTGGCTGCCTGCAGTTTGGCAGTTCGATTCTCACCAACTCAGCCTTCCGTCCTTATGAGGTCGATAAAATGAGGACCCAGATTGTTGGGGGCAAGAGGCTGTATAAAACCGCTTAGAGAGGGCTGTAAAGGCACTGTGAAGCGGTATATAAGTGCTAAGTGTGGAGAGAGGGAGGGAGGGCCATGGTGGCACAGTGGTTACAATGCAGCATTGCAGGCTAACTCTGCTCACTGCCAGGAGTTCGATCCTGACTGGCTCAAGGTTGCCTCAGCCTTTCGTCCTTCCAAGGTGGGTAAAATGAGGACCAAGGTTGTTAGGGGGGGCAATATGCTGACTGTAAAAACTGTTTAGAGAGGGCTGTAAAAGCACTGTGAAGTGGTATATAAGTCTAAGTGCTATTGCCCATCCTTCCCTCCCAGTGGTAAGAAGGCAGCATTGCAGGCTAACTCTGCCGACTGAGTTCGATGTCTAAGTGCCCATTGCTCTTGCTAGATAGGGCAGGTGCGGTAAAGGGAAGCTGGAAGTGGTATCGAAACGTGGCAACCGAGCACGCCTGGCACGTCTGGATTCGGCAGGGCAGTAGGGCTCGGCGATTGCCACCCAAATCAATAGTCGGTGTGGGCGGAGGGCGTTCACCTTGGTCCTGATGGTGCCGATGGCTGTGTCGCAGATACGCTGTCTTCAATGAAGATGGTTCCTTGGCTGAGCTGAAGGGCTTCGAGGTGAAGCGACGAGGAGAGCTGCAGCTGGTGAAGATCTTCCAGTCGTCCGTCTTCGAGGCCTTCCTGAAAGGCACGAGCCTGGAGGAGGTCTACGCTTCGGTCGCCAAAGTAGCCGATTACTGGCTCGATGTCCTGTACAGCAAGGTGGGTGTCTGGGAGGCGGATTTCTTCCTGCAGCAGACGGACAGGTTGATCCCACAGTGTTTTTGTAGCCACCCGCCCCACCCCCAGGAGGGAGAACTGGGGAAGCAGGCATTTTCCAAAAGGCATTCCTATGACTCCGCATTGGCAACAGGAGAGGCATCTGGCTAGTAAAACACCCAGCTCCATTCAGTTGCCCCGACTCCACTCCCGCAAGGAATTACGGGGTCGTTAAATAAAGACGATGATCAGGAGTCATTATGAAATGACATCAGGAGTGGTGGTGGGGTGGCCTAGAGGTGGCGCTCTCACCTCACAATCGGGAGGCTGTGAGTTCGATCCTAGGTAGAGGCAGATATTTCTCTCTCTGGGCACAATGAGAATGTATCTACCAAACAAAACTCCATACTGGCGACAGGGAAGGACATCCGGCCAGTAAACACGCAGCTCCATTCAGTTGCCCAGACTCCACCCCGCAAGGGATTACGGGGTCGTTAAAAGTTGGAGCAGTTTGGTATTTTTGAAGTCCCCCAGCTGCTTTTTGACCCAACCGTTGCCATTCTACTCTTTAAACGGGACTTCGCGGGAACCAAAACGAGAATAGGTTATCAATGATCTTGCTGCTGTCGGTACGGCGCCTCTTCCTTTTTACTTCCGCGGTTGAGCATGCCGGGTGTTGAAATGTACCGCGGAGAGGATGAAGCTGCACGAAGCTTGACGGAGAGCACTGAATCCATACAGCTGCAGAAAATAAATGTGGTTTCCCCCCCACCCTCCATTCCAGGCAGCCAATATGCCCGATTCTGAGCTGTTTGAGTTGATCTCGGAGAATCGATCCATGTCTCGGAAGCTGGAGGATTACGGACAGCAAAAATCCACTTCCATCAGCACAGCCAAGCGCCTGGCTGAATTTCTTGGGGACCAGATGGTGAAGGACGCCGGCCTGAGCTGCCGGTTTATCATCTCCAAGAAACCAGAAGGCTCCCCAGTGACAGAGAGGTACCTCCACCGTGTTGGGTAGTAACGGCATTCTACAGGGTTGCATGTACTATGGGTTCAGATGTACATTCATTCAGGGTCCAATGAGTAAGAGGTAAATTGAGGCCACCAAGAGGGTGTTGGCAGAAGGCTGCTCACTGTCAACTCTCCGTGGTGTCATGGGGACAGAATGAGTGGAAGTGCATTCCACGAATCGGATCTCGGATTACAGCTGCCGGGTTGGGAGGGGTGTATCTAGTTGGTAACGTGATTTATGACACAGACTGAGGGGAAACGGGGGTAAAGTTCAGAAGCAAATTGAACAAAGCACAGGTTTGGCTGTGAACAAAACTTGCCTAATGAAGCTATTAATGCTGGTTTTTGTATTAAAACATTGGCTCGATTATTATGAATCAATTACGGCATCGTTAGGAAACGTGACAGTCAAACCTCGCTTTAATTTTTTAATTTTTTATTAACAAATACACACACACACACACAAAACCTAGACGTACAGCACATTTACGCAATACAATATGAACAGGAGCGTTTCCAAGGTGCGGCGTGGGAGGAGTCACTGGATGGGTATTGTTACGGCCCAATTGCCTGGAGACTGAGGTAAATCTGAGGACACTCCCTCTGCTCCTGACTCCCCAGATTAACCTTAGTCTTCGGCCTAACAGGAGCTATTCAGTGACTCTCCAGTGAATAGTATTTAGTTAGGATTTTTTTGTAGTATTTTTTTCCCCCTTTCTAGTTTCAATACGAACAGGAGCTTCCTGTTCTTTCCAATAGCAATTATCAATCGATACCGCTCACCTTATATTATTTCCCCTTCCGTTGTATTTCGTTTGGATTTCACCATTCTTAACCCTAAACCTCGCTTTTTATTTATTTATTTATTTATTTATTTATTTATTTATTTATTTATTTATTTATTTATTTATTTATTTATTTAT